TATCTGAAATATAAACCGCCAGATATGAAATAATACCATCTTGCTAAAAACCTATGTTATCAATTAATAATTTTGTATGCCAACTTTTAAAATACCCGAGTAACCAAGATTTTTTCGACCTCTTTTCTCTTAGCCGGGCACAATTCCCACTGTCCATATAAAAGACCATGAGATCGGCGGACGTGATTTTTCACGATTATTTATTTATTTTATTTATTATACGATTATTAAATTTCTCCCCACATTCCGCTCGGATTAACATGTTAATGCTTGTAATTACATACCATGGACATCAAAAAAAAAGACTAGCCAAGTCAACTATCTAACGCAGCTACGTAATTTAATTTTAATAAAAGCTCAGTCAACGATTATTCTCTTACAAAGGCTGACCACATTGTATGGCGCGCAAACACAATTCTGCTTCGTCGAAAGATGGTACAACATGTAGCATTAGAAAATGCGCAGGAGTTTGAGCTCTAATAAATAAACCTGAAGCGATTGGGGCTCCGCCATTGTGTGCTTTATAAGTTTGCCTTCGCTGTTCGTACATCAACCGCAGAGTATCGCGTATCCTTCCGCAAGCAAATACGTGCGTATGTATTGCACCTACTCTACAGAGGTGCTCGAAGGAATTTAAATTCCGTAGTAAGTTACAAATCGTGTTCAATGTGGGCGCTTTTGAATGGCCCCAGCGATATCTTTGGCGTTCAATTTTTTAACGGTCTCGGAACACGGGCGACGGATATTTTGGTACTACCTACCTACTTACTAAAAATCCAAAGTGCCTAAGTAATATTTGAACGATTCAGTAGGTCTTCATTAATAAGTAATATTACAATTTGATTTTAAATATCAATATTCAAGATAAGACTCAAGTTTCAAAAACTAGCACAAGGCAAAAAGTCATTGAATTCAGCTTCATTAAGTATTCTGAAATTGCATTTAAATATTTTTCCTTACATGAATATTAAAATTTGCACAAATGCAGCATTAAAAACAATTAAAACTGAGATAAGCTTTTAAAGCATGTAGTGACATTAAAACTGCTTTAAACTGCAAGGACAATATTGCCGGCGTTGTCGTCGTCGAAACAAAATTCAAATTATTCCTTTTTAATACTTAAAACGAAAGTGCTAAATAAATTGGCTACAGCAATGACGTGTTTAATGAACAAAAGCAAGAATTCAAAGGTCAGACCCCGGCCCCGGACGCCGTACGTTCAATTAAAGAAATACGATGAGACGAGCTCCTTGTACTTCGGTATGGTTTATTTTTTTAAATAGTATTCGCACGACGCCTTCTCATTGTTTTGTTGTTGAAAAATAAATAAATCTTATCTACAATATCGTAGTACCTACAGCAAGATGCGGCGCTGCAGCCATTTATGAACTGACTCCTCCGATACGGGAATAAAAATTTCTCAAGCTGTCTCAAACCAAAAAAGTAACAGACAGAAAAACTGCGCAAAAACATTATTAAATGCAAGCGATACTACGCCTGATCCAAAGTTTTGATAAATTCTACTAACTGCCGCACCCAGTCATGTAAGTTAACTTTTGAGTGCAATCAAAGTTGAAGCTGTTACGCTCTTTGTGAAAACTACAGAATTATTATAACCAAATTACGTCTCTGAATGCATCCGTTAATATAATACGTAATGTGATTTGATAATACTACTCGTACCACAGAAAATAGATACTTCTTACATATACTTGATTGCTATGATACTCCATAATCGGTAATTATTTATTGATAGAGCGCTAAATATGCAACTAAATTCAAATAAAAACGTATCAACATAAAACACAAAGTGTATGCTAAAAGAAAACGCTGATCGCAATTCAAACAATTTTATAATTACGTGTAACTGCTTGAATAGCCACTTTGTTCCGATTGTAACAAGGCACATAATATGTTGCCACAGAAATGTTCAACTAATGGCATTACAAATCCTTCTCCGCTTTGCCCTGGACCTGGTATTGTCCGTTCACAAGTTTATTTTCTCTTTATGCCACTGTCCAAAGTTCACCTTTTTCCTTTTAACGCAAACAATTTTTAAATGGCTTATGTTTGATACTATTATTGTGTGCCAATCAGCTTGAATTACAATGTCCCTTAGCAACGACCGAACTGAGTAAGAATCCTTTAGTTACAAATCATTTATTTCTTTCTTTTTGGGTCGAATAACAAGGCAGCTGTTCGCTTTATTTAGATGAGCCCAACTTGAATGCGTTCCTTGAATTTAAATAACTCGAAACTGATGTCGGTTATGGCTGGGAAATAGTGTAAGCTCCTACGGGTTGTGCCATGTCTACTGGGAAACAGACAGCTGCAGTAAGAATGATGTCAAAAGTCGTGAAAACTTACTACTTAGTGTCGAACATTGCACATAACGAACGGCATGTTCCTTATAAAGCGGCTATCGCTGGATAGAATCAACCGAGACAGAAATGAGGTATTAATTTCTCTTACTGACCACAATCTCGAAAATTATCACGCGGCACAATCTTATTAAGGACGCCAACCAATCGTCATGCATTTAAAATATCAGCCGCTCTGTTTGAAAATCGCTAATTGAGATGTGCAAGACAGTTTAAAAGTAACACTCTTATAAAGTCTTTTTTAGTATCCACTGTGTTAGTGAGAGTATGCAATAAATCTCATAGTGACCGCTCTTATCTTTTATACCGCGGTAGCCGATATAACTTGTGTCAACCCGCTTGAAAATTTAAATAAAAAACAACTTAAGTACCTCAATATCGACTGATTCACTCACGCTCTGGATTATCTTTAAGTCTGATACTCGTGCTTCGAGAAGGATGAATTATTATTTGATACCATAGCTACTTCGGTTTCCTCAAACTTTAAGATTGTCAATAAATATCGTAGAATCGTATAAAGTTCGGGATTTTGTAAATCATTAACGAAAAGATAATAATTATCTTTCAGTTGAAATTAATGTGAATAATAAATTTTTTTTGAATTCATTAACCTAATTCCACATACTGTCTTCGTGTGTGGCTCCGAAACGAACGCTGAGTGCGTATCAAAAAATCTTTTCATTAAAAACTAAAATACGAGGTCGTCTCAACTGAAGGGTTCTTTGCGATCCGGTTTAAATAAGGACAGTGGCGAGACAACCAGGTTCCCGGGGTTTGCATGCGAGTTAGTTATGTCGATCGAACATCAATCAGAGAGTCAGCAACGGACCTCCAATAATAATAAAGTAAGCCGAGATCAGATTCTCGCATTGTTTCAACAAATGTGTTTCTTGGAATTCAATTGCGTGAGTTCTGTCAATGATGGTACACCAATTTTAGTAAATGCAAGCTCTGTACGATATAAGCTGCCTCAGACGCACTCTCAAATCGAGTTTTATTACTCACAATATTTCGCAAATCGTTTCCACTTAAAGGGAAATTCATGGGTTCGCTCTTATGATAAAAACTGTACTTAGTGGATATTCAACCACTTGTGAGCTGATAAAAAGGCATTAAACGACCCTATCCACCTTAATTACGATTTTGTAAATCATTGTTTTGTTAGTATTGCAGCATAAGAAATATATATCACTCATTGTCAAACCTTAAAAATGAAGACACGGATAAAATTACAAGCGAAATTACTAAAACTAACACTGTATAATGTTCATGTGCATCAGGGAAATACAGGTCGTACTGAGCAGGAATCTAAGTTGCAAATTGTTAACATTTATAATTCTTGCCCGGAGCACCACCATTTATCTTTGCTTTGGACGCCGATGCAATTAATCAAGTGCCGTTGTCACGTACGTAATATACTGGAGATAAAGAGAAAAAGATGATTTCAAGCTAATTATCGACCTTGTTGTATGGATTCTCTTTTTTGGACCACTTAACACCTACCAACCCAATTTGCCGGTTATTCCCTTTTGGCATTCAGGTCTTCGGAAGCTTTTGAGAGAATCGAAACGTTAAGTAAGTCGGTACCTTAATTGATACCTATATGCAATAAATGTTCAACTGTCTTTTTACTCTGCCCTCTAAATAATAACCTAAGTCTGTATCCAACGAAGGATTCTATTTTATGTTATCAACTCCTATACTTCCAATAATTTGAATTGTTATTATCTTAAGACATAATTTGATATTTCTGGTAAACTTATTCCTACTTGAAACTTCAGAGTTATTATTAGCAGTGTTATTTTTGAAAATTATTAAAAAGTATTTTCTGAAAGTGTCTGGAAATTATGATTCCGTCATAAATACATTTTTACCGAGACTGCTGAATGTTGCGTTCTCATAAAGCACCATCAATATCCTGTTATAAGACCCACAGCATGCTGATCAATTCGCGTTGAATTAAATACATTAATTAATTACGATGGCTATCTCGCTTAGCGGCCTGGCAATTAGTTGTGGGGTATTTGCCAACGCTAGATCTGTTGTTGGTGAATTGATAGAAGACCTTTCCGGTTCTGCAACAATGGGCTCAGTACGTAGTTTCTTGTAACAGACTTATGATATATCCATGCTTGTGAGTCACGATTATTGCCTTTTTGATAATCACCACAGAATCTAAATTCAATATATATAAAGTAACATTTTAAAGAGGAACTTGGAGGAACTAAGGCTTGTGCCCTCGTATTTTTAAAACGAGTAAACCCAAAAACTACTCGAGCGATTTTAAAAATTCTTTCGCCATTTGAATACTTCATTATCCCTGAATTCTTGAAGCTATATTTTATTGCATTGAATAGAGCTAGGTGTAAAGAAAATTTAAGTAGAAAAAAAAAGCAACTTGGACGAGGTTTCAGACGGAATTCGTAACCGCATCTACCGCTATCAGGGCGGAAGGTAAAATTTTCTCTACATTTAAACATCTAGCAGTAAAAAACAAAAATTTAATAAAGCTAAGTGATTAAAAAAGGATGTAACTGTAATATTTCTACGACTTTACTAATAGGTATATTTGAATAACGATAGTATGTTAAATGACAATTTTGTTAACTTAAGTCTTTCTTCCACAGATGTCAGCGATAGACCCCGACTGTGGCGTCAACGCTATCGTCAACTACACTCTAGCGGACAGTTTTGCCCGTCCTCAATTTACTGTCAAGCCGGATTCTGGAGAGCTGTGCGTTTCATCTCCATTGGACCACGAAACCAACAACGAATTCGAATTCCCCGTCATCGCTACAGATAGAGGTAAATATATTCATATACTATAAATATTACCTGTAGTACGTATCTATATTTTTTCTTGGATATAATTGATACTGGGCTAATTGCTTCCACAGAGCAACACGGATGCGATCCGCACCGCTATCATGTTTCTCTATGATTGCAACCCATTTGCTACCTATTCCGTACCGAGAGTAAAAAGTCTGTCAACAGACAAAGTATCTTAAGAAACTAGTTTAGCCATAAGATGGTACCCTACCAATATTGTTTTATTTAGCAATAACCCGAACAATGTGGAATGTTGTCCTCAATGTATGTATCATAATGGTATTGATGAATTTGCAGGCGAGTATTACATCATGTTTATCTATTTGGATGTGTATTTATTTAACGGTACTCCGAATCTCACGAGACCTTTTGTTATTAAATTTTATATTCTAATGATGTTTTTCTCCTTGTATACCTCACTCTATTTAATACTCTTCTCAGAAATCTATTAAGTTAACAGCTTTCACTAAACTAACACTGAGGAGTGTAGTTTGATGTTACCTTTGATGATTGTTAAAATGAGAATGTGATTCCTATAAGTGATCGAACATACTCAAGAAATTACCTGTGACTATAACGCACTAAACTGAGTCAAGCGAAAACGGGGCCCGAAATAAATTCCGAAAATGTCCACAGGCCGTTGGCACCAGCCGGCTGATTTATTTGCCGAGGAGGGCCAACTATTACTGCTTCGTTCGTTTTTGTCCCGCTCCGGCTCGGTAACTTTGTACCGCCGCCGATTTTTACTGGGGAATTCGGTTTTTGGAATATAAACAGAACGGTTGATGGGAATAAGCAATTCGAAAATCATTAGGAGTATGAATATGTGATCCTTTGAAAAAAACCTATATGTTGATAATTTTAGTTTTATAAGAAAAAAAACCGGAATATATATTAACAAACGAAGATTCATGTATGATAAAAATATATACTTAGATTCATCCAATTTTAGCTTAAACACTACTCATAAAATTTCATTCTCGTTCAACTAAAATATTTTTTAGGATTCATTTCTCACTGAGATTTCAAAAACAAATATAACAGACATACATATTTTTAAAACGTGTAATAAATAAAAATTAAAATATTTTGATGACATAACCGTATAATTCCTACAGTTATCATAATTAAAATTAATGATCTCAATTTTCCCCTAATTTAACGGAAGCCCAGTTACTCTGTTGACATAACTAGCTTCTTGTTTAATTTTAAAGCCTGTTATGATTTCCAGTTTATTATATCGATCAAGATATCGTTTAATTGGTAAACGCTTAGCTTCTGGCATTAATAATTCTAGCTTTTATTAGACATAAATTCTTTAATAATCTTCAAATATAATCTTTATTATTTGTATGCTTTACGAACACTACTTTTGAAAGCTTCAAATGTTTAAATCTCATTAACGTCAAAGTACCCCGTAATCCAAACAATATTTAAATGCAAAACAGAACAATTATTTTATTATCGCGTACCTCGTGCAGTGTATACCGTTGACATCAGCATAAATCAAGCTGCTGTCAATTAAACATCGCATTACAACAATACACAAACAATCATGAGACCAATTATTTATTTATTCGCAGGGGGCCTGTCCACGACTGCCATGGTGAAGATCCAACTGCTTGATATAAACGACAATGTTCCTGCCTTCACTGTTAAGGACTACAAGGTTTCTTTGAAAGAGGGTCGGATATCGTCGACCGAGCCCATAGTGTCGGTGTCGGCGACCGATGCTGATTCCGGTAGATTCGGCACGGTGACCTACAGGATCGTCAATGGAAATGATAATGACATATTCAGAATCGATAGAAGCACCGGTGAAATACTGGTCACGAAGCCGTCGCTTGTACAAGCTAACTCGAAGTTTGACCTAGAAATATCAGCGACTGATGGGGGAGGTCTGACAGCACCACAAGGAGCTACTGTACACGTCAACGTGATGTCCGCTGGTGTTAGTTCGGCGTTGTTCGACAAGCCGAGATACAATTTTAGAATAAGGGAAGATGTGCGGATCGGGACGGTTGTAGGCAGCCTCAAAGCTACAGCCAATAATAGAGGTAAGCATGTTTACTTATACACCTTCGTTAGAAAAGCTAATAGTGAGAGTCAACTATTAACTTACAGACAAGAATGCGATTCGAATGTGCGTCGGTTAAAAACAAACATTCGTTAGAAAAATAATCATATTACTTAATAGAAACGGTCCAATAACATTCTACGAAGAGCCGAAAAGCTATTACACGCAAGTTTAGGGTTTCTCTACAACGAAACTTACTTAGGTGTAGGCACGAACAAATATTTTCGTTGAGAACATCGGTGAACGGTAGATTCATTATAATGCATCATTAATGTTTAATCATAAAATAAAGGTTGTTTTTAGATTATACTTTGTGAAACTCTGGGAACCTATTTGAAAAAAATATCTTTATCTTTAACAGTTTTCAATGATCCAGATATATATGACTAATTTTAAGAAGATTTAGGAAGAAAATATAACTAGAAAAAATTCCACGCGGACCAGGCAGCAGACGGGACTCGAACCCGCACCCTTCGCAATCCGGGCGAATGCACTGACCAATTATGCTACCGCGGCCCTACGGCCCGCGTCGAAATTCTTCTAGCTATTCTTAAGCTGCAAGGCAGCGCCATCTCTTCGCATTATAGGCAACCCACAATGGCACGCGGGCCGTGAGGGCCGCGGTAGCATAATTGGTCAGTGCATTCGCCCGGATTGCGAAGGGTGCGGGTTCGAGTCCCGTCTGCTGCCTGGTCCGCGTGGAATTTTTTCTAGTTATATTTTCTTTAGATTTAAACATCAAGCAGTTACATGCTTTAAAATAATAAAATTTATAACTATAATTGCTATTTCTTCTTTCAAATGTTTAATACTTGTAAAAGTATTCATTTGACATTGTGGGTTGCCTATAATGCGAAGAGATGGCGCTGCCTTGCAGCTTAAGAATAGTTAGAAGAATTTCGACGCGGGCCGTGAGGGCCGCGGTAGCATAATTGGTCAGTGCATTCGCCCGGATTGCGAAGGGTGCGGGTTCGAGTCCCGTCTGCTGCCTGGTCCGCGTGGAATTTTTTCTAGTTATATTTTCTTTAGATTTAAACATCAAGCAGTTACATGCTTTAAAATAATAAAATTTATAAAGATTTAGGAAATTCTTTGAAACTAAGAGGTTAAACTTAAAGAGGATGAGGCATATTTCACTCTCGTTGACTATGAAGAAAGAAAATATCAAAAAGCTATCGTCGCCTTCCGCAAAACAAGAATAATAAAAAAATAAATTAAACATTTCCAACACTCACACCAGTTAGCCTAGCCCCAAAGTAAGCACTGTAAGGCTTGTGTTATGGGATACTAGGGTAACGGATAGAATACACATACTGTACAAATATAAATATATTAATATAGAAATACATAATCAAACATCCATAACTGAAGTACAAATGCTCGTATTCATCATACAAACATCTGCCCCTACCGGGATTCGAAACCGGGACCTCTCGAGTCGGCGACACCATGAAACCCGGCGTACAAACCACCCGGCCACGGAGGTCGTCAAATATAGGAATCCCAGTGCCACACACCGAGCCACCGCACCATGTCGTAGAGCAAATACGTAATCGGACATTGTCTATTCTGCCGTCACGATCGCGTAAAATGCAACCGTCTCGTCGTGTCGGGTTTCGCATCCGACTACACTGCATCCAGTCTTGAATGAAAACGTTATAGTTATTGCTTATAAGCGCTGACACGGAATGTTATGTCTCAATACTCGATACAACTGGATGTTGTAAGCTGGTACAGTATTTTATTTCGTCATGATTCACAGTTACTTATGAATTTTATCAAACATTTTGATGTAAAGTCAATGTAAAGAAGAATCCCAGTGGGGGATGTTTGTGTGATGAATACGAACATTTGTACTCCACTCATGGATGTTGAATATGTATTTCTTTATAAATATACTTATATATGTAACACATGCTTACAGTGCTTACTTTGGGGCTAGGCTAATTGGTGTGAGTTATCTTTTATACTTATTATATAACTTAATTTTTTAATTAACTATAAATATTTAAAAAAAACTTTGATATAGTAAAACGTTATGCTTAATACAAGTTTCACAACTTGAACAGTAATAAAATTAAAGCACTCTACATGACACATAATTGGGGTATTAAAATTAGAACATATTTAGTTTCATGTTAGTAGTAGTAGTCATGTTAGCTAGTCCGTTTATCTGTCAGCGTGTTATATAAATATATATATATATATATATATTCGTCACTTGGCCGGATATTTTACCAGTTGACTTAAAAAAAGCTAACACATACACAATAAAACACACTATGTAGGTCTTCTAACGGACTTCATTGGTATGAATATCAACAACATTGTCCTCGCGTACTCATATATTTGCTGTTAAGTTAGCAACAATTCCAATGGGTATTCTGCGGAAATGTGAGGATCCACCCAAGCAAGACAATGTGTGTGCGATTTAGTACAAGGCAGCGGGCTGGCCCATCGCTAGCCAACAATGGCGGCATTCTGGCGAATCACCGACGTAACGGAGGGCTGCAATTCAGTGATTTACAGCACGGCACTGTAGCGGTATGGGTGCGGACGAAGGCTGTGTGTCACACGATTTTGTAACGACAAAGTAGAAGAGTGGATTGAAACAAAACAGTATAGATTTTATTTAAAAGACTAGCCGTGCCCCGCGGTTTCACCCGCGTTTTTCTCGTTTCCGTGGAAATACCGAGATAAAATATATAGGTACCAACTCTTAACATCTTACACACGTGATAACTTTTAAACGAAATATCCGATTGAGCTGAAACAAAAAGTATTTTACTTCTACATAAATACTCTTGACAACATAGTGCTTAATTTCGATAAAGATTAATATTACGATACATATTTAACGTAGTTTTTTTTCTTCAGACGATTTAATAATTATTTTGAATACAAAATCGGTTATTGTGATTAAACCATGATAGCTAGATATATTTTCTTGACACCTTTTTTCTAGGTCTTAATGGGATCTACAAACCCGTAGTACATCATTTTATTCTATTGTCAATAGTTTTTGCAGCGCACGCAAAAATAGGTTTTCGATTTTACACCTTGTGTTACAAAATAGCAATTTTATAACGGATCCCTAATTTTGAAAAAAAAATGTAGCCTATAGCCTTTCTCGATAAATGGACTACCCAACACTGAAAGAATCATTCAAATCGGACCAGTAGTTCCATAGATTAGCGCGTTCAAACAAACAAACAAACTCTGCAGCTTTATAATATTAAGTATAGATATTAAAATTAATAAAACACATGGTTAGGATAGACGTGTTTATCTACGGTATCGCTAGCTTCTTAAGCTACTTTTACAAATAAAAAATAGCATATTCTAGTAAATTCGCATTAATTATGAGTTCACAGCCGTATAGATTTGGTATTCCACTTTCAATATCTCAACTATAGCCCATCATCTATTGTCTTGATTCAAAATCTATTAAATTATACACTAAATTAATTGTGATCAAACACTGTTCAAAAACACTAGGAGTTCTCAATATACTAAAGGCGAACCTTTAAGCCGTTAAAAAAATAAGTTTCTCAAATAATTTTAATACATTTTTTACAAAAGCACACCGTTACGTTTCGGTGTAAACGCGTCCATAATGAAACTCTTGTAGTATAAATATTAGAGAAACGCACCGACTCGTGTAAGATAGCAGTGCCCCACCAGCGAGTTGATTTATCAAGGATGTACACCGGGCACGTTACGGAATTAGAAATACTTAGAAAGTGGGGAGATGAGAGATCTCGCTTGGTTCGCATAACGGACCGTATGAACTGAGTCTCCGCTGAATAATAGATTAACTTCGCTGCCTTGTTATTGTGTGAGAGTACACAGTGAGAAAGGTAGGCTGTTATTGTATAATGCGGTTGTCTTATTCAATATTTTAGTTTATTTAGGGCCTATTTCACAATCTCTGAGTAAAGTTCTAAGTAAGCTACTTCTAATAATATATAAAATAAAATGAAATATCTTATATCTTCGAATATATGTTGTATATACAATTATCAAAAATATAATTTTTGTAATATAAAACCAAAACAATAATTAACTAAAGCTAGCATTATAATACCATAAATAAATAAATCTGTAAGATAATGTACCGTTTATTTTGAAAAGGACATTAACATCTCTGTATCATCGTAGTATACTTAGTGAGGCATCATAAGTTTGGCATGTTTATAATTCAGACTATATATATTCAGTTTAACATTTAGTCGGTTGTATAAAAATGGTCCTTGTGACAAAGGCGGATCCAGCTTAGGCGCCAGGAGGGGGATCAAATAGTCGTGGTATATTAAATATTGAAAGTACTTAAATAAAATCCCCCTGGGTTTGGTCCATCTGTACCCAGCCCAGGGGGGGGGGGGGTCATGACCCCCATGACCCTCCCCCTGGATCCGCCCTTGCCTTGTGGTCCTTAATTGTTCTTAATTGTCTCTGTCTAGAGAAAAGAAAGTGAAACTACCAAAAAACATCAGCTGAAGCTGAAAATTATTTTAAAAGCTTTAGTCAATATTTTATTTGAGATAGTAAGAAAATAATCTAGCAAACTTAATTATTTTAATTATAGATAAACAAAAGAAAAGTTTTACTAGAAAAAATTCCACGCGGACAAGGCAGCGGACAGGACTTAAACATCTAGCATTTAAATGCTTAAAGAAATAAAAACAACATGATCGTTTTTCGGATAGCGAATATAACCAACTGTAGGTATACATATTCTTGACTGAACCCGTCCGTCAAATCAACCGAATTCTTCACAAAATCAATTAACTCATTATGACCAAGTAAACCGGTATGTAAAGAAGCGATTATACGAGTTTCCGATTGTGTAATTACTTCACTACAATATCGGAACGGAATGGACAAGAATGGACGCCTCTGTTGCGAATCAAATCTTTAGATTAAGAAGATATCTAAAAATGATCTCATATTGTGGTGTTTCTGTGTGGCACGAAGCAT